GACGTTGTGCTGTGAATACGTAATCATCTTCGAACCAGTGAGTGGATACAGACTCTTTTAATATTTCAAATCCATTTCAATTGCATTGTTGGGCACCTAACTTACTTCAAAAACATAAGTGAACTTCACTAGTCATAGTTTCACACTAGAATCGAGAAAATCAATCGTATTTAACAAGAGTTTTTTCAATACACACTAACTGACTGAGTATTAATCGCACTGTTAATAACACTGTCAAGTACATTCGATGATGCTTTGATCAACTTCCTAAAATCAATATTTTATCCTAATTTACATGAAGAAACAATATTCTTTATTAAAATCAAAATGTAATTGTAAATTATTGTCAGTAGTTATTTTATTTTATTTGTATTGCAAAACAATGCACTAAAATACATTTTGGAAAACGAAAATCGATTAACTTAAGGTCAATTATACTCTACATATACATTGAGAATTGATCGATCATGTTAGTTCTGCTTCAATCAACTACAGGTAAATATTACCTTGACATAATTTTCGGTGAGTTAATTTTCTACAGGATAAGGTTGGGACTTCAGTTTAGTTAGGTTTATTGATTAGAAAACTGATTTCTTTAGGTTCTACCTCTTCAAATAGAAGAATGCTAAGAATAAAAACAGAAATTTAAGTTTTTCGGGTTATGTTGTACTAATTATTGTACTAGAAGTATAACGGTTTTCAGGTGTTTTTTATTTCAAACAATCAACATCTTTAATGTCAATGAAACAGTTGACTCTAAAAATGCTAAATCTTATTTTATTACACAGATTTAAGTTCTCAATTATGATAAGACAGTACAATTATGAAGTTAACACAACAAAAATCCTCTTTGTAGAAGGTCTTACATGACTAGTCTCAAGCAGTTGTTCTTTGGGTTATATATATATGTGTGTATGTACATACTTATGTAGTCACACTTTCAAGTCACTAAGAACATACAACACTGAATCTTTTCAAAAATTGAGAACTTCATCTAAAGCCTCCCTAGATCTACTGCCGGTCACAAACCCAGTTAAAAGAAGTAGGGTCAGATAAAAGGGGTTAGCGACCATATCCCGTAGAAAATTAACTCACCGAAAATTATGTCAAGGTAATATTTACCTGTAGTTGATTGAAGCAGAACTAACATGATCGATTAATTCTCATTGTATATGTAGTGTATAATTGACCTTAAGTTAATCTATTTTCATTTTCCAAAAATGTATTTTAGTGCATTGTTTTGCAATACAAATAAAATAAAATAACTACTGACAATAATTTACAATTACATTTTGATTTTAATAAAGAATATTGTTTCTTCATGTAAATTAGGATAAAATATTGATTTTAGGAAGTTGATCAAAGCATCATGGAATGTACTTGACAGTGTTATTAACAATGCGATTAGTACTCAGTCAGTTAGTGTGTATTGAAAAACTCTTGTTAAATACGATTGATTTTCTTGATGCCTCTTCTAACAACCAGAGCAACCATTCTTTTAGGTACATGGAACGTTCGATTATTGTGAGAGACAGCTTATGTGAAACTTGATTTCATTTTTCTGAAGAACACATGAACGAACTGAAGCCCACGAGGGTGTAGTTTTGAGAATTCTGGTCGGTGACCCATACTCCGCTGAGGGTGTAGCATAATCATGCATAGGTTTCCTTGGTTATAAGTGAGCGAGACTTTACCCTACTTTCTAAGCTTATCATTATATTATCTTATAAAGTATGGATTTATGTGCCATATCAGTCATGTGAATGAGTCTAGTGTCTCCATATACATTTGAGTTCGTTCATATTTAATTTGATTAAGCATTTTGATTAACTTATTTAACCAAGTCATTTGGTATAGCAATAACTTATATGGAGCATTGTGCGAAAAACACTTACAAACTAGATGTAGCAGTTAGTGTACTCCAAGTAAGAGTCCTGATCTAATTCAAAATATAAATTTAACATCCTATATATAAATATATATATCATAATTTTCTCTTTATTACAACTCAGCTGTTCCTAATGTTGACTACCCTCAGACAGCAATTTACACAAGACTTTCTCCCAAATCTGAGCACGGTTGAACAGGAAATAGATGATATTGCATTTATAAGGTTAGACGGAAGTCAGAAGGTTTAAAGGAAAAAGACGTTAGTGTATTTATAGTTTTTACATGGGAGGATTCTATAATGTTCACTCAGCATCGATTAGCGCTGAATGGTGGATACGAAAGAGCCAATCAGTGTGCAGCAACGTAATCATGCTTTAATCCAATCTATGTTGCACTAAGCTAATCACTTTTTACAAGGTCAAATTAACGTAACATAGTTTTGAAAGTTGTAATACTTCGAAAAGTAATCAGGAATGCGTGTACTTATATATTGAGTCCATAGAGCATGTCCAAAACCTTTGTATAAACTAACTAATCTCTTCTTCTCCAGTTATTGTTTACATGTCTTCCAATCTTGCCAATTACTACTTATCACATATCCAGGCTAATTTGTCTGTCCATAAATACTTAGTCATACCTCATTACATGGAGTTAGCTCACTCGCATTCTCCATTTCATTTCGCTTTGCTTGCACGCTGTTTATTCTCATGTCTGCCTATGTGAAATGAATTCATCCAACCGAATTCATATTTGACTTCTTATATAACATTCGTCAGTCAGTCAGTTAAAGCGGAGAACTTCGTATGTACGTATATCAGTTCAAGTTATCATACCACATTAGTACAGAAATGGAATTGTCAAATCGAATCCCATATTAGTAGAGGTGGTAAACGTATTAGTGGCAATGGGGAAGATTATAATTCAGAGATATTATTCAAGGATTATAACCCAGTGAAATAAATTTCGAAAGGGACAGATAGGGAGTATGCTGAGTTCAGAAGATTAGGATTCGAGAGAAGACAAATGATGGATTCACCTGCTTCATTGCAAATGGTTTAGAGCCATGTCACTCAAGGTCACTAACCATCGGTTACTATCGTCCCGCAGACCACGACCAGGTAGTCTACACCCACCAACGTTGCTCAGTCCATTTGTCAGAGGCTTAATGGTGACCCTCCGGGGCTACTTCCGATCCTGAGCCTAGATAAAGGAGAAGCTTTGGGCTTGACATCGGCGACCCCACCCGTAGAAAACTAACTGGCTAAAAAAGCTAACAAGAAATAATAACTCAAACCATTTTAAACTCTGGCATGGGAGTTAGAAAGTCTTTATTTAGAAGAGTTATGAAGTCTCACGATGAGAGCCGAGTTCCCTCAGAAGTCACGAGGCCGAAGTAAATTAAATTTTTATTTCAGTACCAAGGAAAGTCTTCAACAGAGTTTTGTTCAACAGAATGAAGAACTTAGTAGACGCTCAACTTCAAGATCAACAGGCTGGACTCCGTAAGAATCGATTATGTGCCGACCAAATCGTTACAGTACGGATCCTTGAAGAACAATCGACTGAATAGAATTTACCAATCTACGTCAACTTCATTGACTAAGAGAAAGCACTCGATAGCGTGGGCAAGGTGATTTTATGGAGGTCTGCCTAAGAAGATAGTCAATGTCGTACGGACTTGTACATGGAGAACAGTTCAAACACTCATTCGTAGGTATGGCCGGTGTCAGGCAAGGTTACTTACTCTCACCGTTTCTCTTTATCTTGATGATTTGAGGGCAGGCAGGAGATACAGTGAATTGCTAGGATGCAGCTGGACGATCCAAATTTTGCGGATGATCTAATTCGTCTATCTGCAAAAGAAGACGATCAGTGTTGCAGCAACAAGGCTCAACATTGTTGAGGATGTTAGATCCCCAAAAGTCGCTTGATAAATGCCTTATTTTGGTTTTCACTTTTGCGAGCATAGGCTGATCAGCTAACCTTGAGATTTCATTTCGCACCAGGAAGATCCATGGCTGTGATTGGTTGCTGTGTATTTTAGTGTGCTATTTTCGTAACTGTTCCAAGGACGTTTCTATGATGTACAAATAAACGATAGTTGTATGCTTGATTGTGCTGTGGTTGCTGGGTGTTTGTAGAATATACTTTCTACGCTTACAAAGCCATTATTTCTTCAGCTTGGGATTCAAGCACACTTAGTGGTGAACATAACAAACATACATAAAGGAAAGAGTTAAATCCTCCGATACAACACAACATTCACCGATCAAATCACAATTGACGGAGACGTCTTAGAGGATGTAACAACTTTTACATATCAGGGCGGCATTATTGATGATGAGGGTGGATCTGATGCAGACGTGAAAACATGGACTGGCAAAGCAAAGATAGCGTAAGTCAAAGGTAAATTGAGAAAAGCAGTTGAGAATGTAGTCACGCGAAGATAATATATATTTTGATAAGGTCTATCTCTCTTAAAAACAAAACTAGACGCTGATGGTGTTGGATAGAATGAATTACACAATTTTCCTTGTGATATGCAACACTAACAAGAATTTTTTACAATCTAATACAAAATGCAATGATATTGTAACATGTCGCCTACTTTTATTATTTACAGATACACACAGCAATGCATAAAGAGAGCGAATATCCTTATTCATTGAAGTATATAATTATTGATACCAAAAAAACACCTAACTATTTATGCGTCCTACAAATTATCGAATTAGTAAGTGCGTAGAGATACCGGTTGGATTAGCCAAATCGAACCGGATCGTTTTCTAAGAGGGTCAATTTCCTAGCCTTCAACCTACAAGTCTAATCCACAAGTAACGTTAGGAGATGCAGTTTCATGATGGCTGGTTACAAATACTAGGTACGTACACCATTTATTTCATCAGAATCCTGGAGCTATGATTTGGAATCAGGATATCTCAATTCCCTTACGTAAACTATCCATATCCATCAACTCGGTTTAAGCACCCTACACATTCGCTTTTCATCCTCTCACCTTCCTTAACAATATCCCACCACACACACACACACGCACACTTTTGTACACATGAGATCATTTCAATTAGGAAAGTAGACTGTTTCTATTCTCAGTCGTAACAGAGCATTGGAGAGAAAGTATATAAACACTGTTTTTATCATCCAAAAAGTCATATTATTAACAGTACTATATGAAAATTAAACAAAAAAGAAAACCCTTAAATATTATTCATCACTAATTTGATAAATACATTCTTTAATATATAGAAAAAAAAAAGTGAGAACAATCCCCTGAATACAATCATCAAATCAGTAACTAGCAAAAATAGTAATAATAATAATTGGCAAATTAATAAGTAGTACATACCCAGTAGTATATATATATATGTATATAAAAAAATAGTTATTTTCATGTTTTAATGAATTCACATACAAACAAAAAACATGATTTGCAAACACAAAAATATTTTTTTTGTAATTCTTACAAAAGATGAGAGAGAGAAAAAAAAGGAAGTATTTTGGTCAAAGAAAATTTCAACAAAACAATGATTATTATTATTGTTATTATTAATCACAGTTTGATATTATTCGGTAACATAAGCAAATTTTGCATTGACATACACGCCTGTTGCTCTCCAAACATCATCATTCATTGGATATTGAACAGAGGTCAATTTAACATTGGAACACTAGATAGAAGAAGAAGAAAAGTAATAGCAAAGTTTCATAAAAAAAAATTCACAGTAATCACGTAATTGAACTAAAAAACATTGATTGGAATGTGTGTTTTGGTAGGCTCCTCTATTGAACAAGTTCGACAGGACAGAAAATAAAAACAGAAACTTAAACTTTGAGATTGAAATCATACTACTGTTGTACTAGAGTCCCGACCGGCAGCTACTACCTAGACGTGGTGATCAGGTCTGACTATCGTAATGATCCAACCAACCGAATTATATTGGCTGGAACATATATTTCTTTAGGCAGGCAGGTCGAGTGGAGAACGGTGAGATTAAAAGCAGCAATTCAAGATCTCACGACGAAGTCGTACTGACGACTGCAGAGGTGTGTAACAGTGTGTAACAAAAAAAAATTGACTGATTGTACTGGAATATGACGGTACAGCGGTGTTTCCCGAAGAAAATCAGAATAAGTAATGATAGTATCTATTAACAACACGCCTACTGTCACAATATCATAACTCACTTAAGCCCATGGATTTCTGTCTCTTGAGATAACTTCTTACAGGTGAGAAGTTAGATCATCAACAGATATTCACAAAAAAAAGGTTCTTAATCACTCATCCTTGAGCTTTGTAGTCAACCTTTCAGATTGTCAAGAACAATCTAGTTTTTAACTTTCAAATATTTGGCGAAGACACCGTTTATTTACAAAATATCTATTTGCAACACTGGAAGGTTATTGTCCGCCTTCTTTCATCTCTTTTCATATCTTTATTTAAACTTTAGTCGCCCTATGCATTTAAATCTCCAGACACTCCTCTCTCTCGCTCCACTGCATACTACACAAATGCCATCTTGTGAGTAGCATTCACCACAATATGACTGATTGACATTATGTTCAGATGTTTAAAACCGGATACGTGGACTAGAATCAGCCACAACGAAAAAAAAGATTGCGTCTTTGTGCTAATGTAATATGGCAACTGGAACTGATGTACGTATGTATGAAGTTCTACGTTGCAACTGACTGATGTTCCGTGGAAGAAAGCTAGGTGCGGCCAAACCATAACATGGCACAAATCCATCAAATTACTGACAACAGGAGTTAGCCATGTTAGTAGGTATAGTAGTACTACCTGATTGGAGTTCGCGAAATAATAATAATAATAATCGATGTTTAAAGATTATGGTGCATGTGCATCCACTTTAGGTGTTCTCTTAAATTCTAGTCTTTTCAATTCGCTGTAACATTGGTCTTTCTCTTTTGAAATTTATTTCACTGAATTATACTTCTTATGAAATAATATCTTCGAATTTCAATCTTTCTGATTACTGTTCATACTTCTACTACTTAAACCATTATGAGATATGAAATAACAATTCCATCTGTTTGTGTGTGGTAATCTGGTATGACAATATGAACACTGATGTATGTACATACGTACAAAGTTCCACGTTGCAGTTGACTGATCTAATCATTTGTACTATCACTTTAGAATTTGTATTGCTGCGTTTATCTTTATGTTCCAATGTTGGTGTGTGTGTGTGTTTATATGTGTGTGTGCGGTAACTTGAATCAATGCATACATATAGTATAAGTTTTAAGGCTGAGGATAGATAGAGTAGGTTGGAGTATGCTAGTCAGCGAGCGGCCTATGCTTCATTAGAGGCGGAGATAATAGTCGTAAGTAGTAGGCAAGTAAATAGTTATAAGCTCTAGGTTGTTGACTAATTTCAATGATCATTGGTTCAATTATAAAGCTGCGAACAATAATAATAATAATAATAATAAGACTTAGAAGAATTCAAGAATTCGGAAGAAATTCGGTGAAAACAATTCAATACTTACAGAACTATTTTTCATAAATTTTAAACCCTGAGAATGATTATTATCAAGTAAAAATGGATTGAAATGAAGATTTTTCAATAGATTTTGAATTTGTTTGATTGGAAATAAATGTGCTTGTGTACTGAATACATAATCATATTCATTCACATTGACAGGATTAGATTCATCAAATAACTAGGAGAAAGAAAGGGTAAAAATCAATCATAAGAAACAATGAATTATGAATGGAATTGACAGGATGAGAATCATGTACTCAAACAATGACCAGCTTCGGAGAAGCAACTCTTCGTGGTTGTCCTAGTAGAAAATAGTGCAACCAGTAGAGTTCAATGACCATTTCAGGTGTGGGGCAGTTTTAGCTGCGCAAGACAATGGATGAGGGTTGCACGGTCCCGTGGATTGATCAAAAGTAGACAGACATTACCAGCTTAACAACGTTAAGCGTTCGTATGTCAGACTGAATGTACTGCGTTCGATTCCCACCAGAAAGGGTCGTGGATGCGCATTGCTGATGAGTCCTATAGTAGTGTGGTGCTGTGGTGCGAACTACTTATAAGTAGTATATAACGTGAGTGTCAACGTAATGTCTGGCAGCAGCAGATGGGGGAAGATCAAGAAAGGAAGAGTTAGAAAACAATGGAATTTGTATGAAACGCATGAATAGTGACAATGGATTGATGTTTGGCAACAGGAACAGTCCAGTTCCATAGGATGAACTGATCTTTTGCAAATGAACGATTTACGATATGGTTTTCCGATTTTACTGAGTGGTAACTCTGTAATTTTCGTTAAATACAATTCGGTTGCCCCACCTGTGTTCTCATTCACTACAGTAGGACGAAATGGTTATCCAGTGCTTCCAGGTTTCCAATGATGGTCTAACATTGACAACTGACAAAGGTAATTTAACAGTAGTTTTCAGCAGAACCAGACACTGCCGCCTAAGTGGTAACGTAAACAGTAAAGCACTATCGTGTGGTGCAACCACACAACTACTACCTGACACCCAATTGGACCATTCACATCAATACATATAGTGATTATTTCCAATCCATGACCTACAGAGATAATCCTCTGTAAATGAGAATGAATTGATAACTTGTCAATATACATGTATAAGCGCTTTGTTGTGCTACTACTCTATAACCGGTTCACTGTTTAGATGATTGGTGACATGTTGAATTTGAGACAGTGAACGTATGAAACGATAGAATATTAAAATTATGCAACTTAAGATTGTAGGTTTTGACAAATTTCACAGATATTTTGAACAACAAAAATAACAATTTGAACGAATAAAAATTGATACTTTGAGAAATCAAACAACTTATTTACTATGAAAAGATTCTGTAAGTAAAGATTGACAAATTAAAATGACATACAACGACTTCAACCGAATATTAATCATACACTAGCTAGAAGCTGTGAGTGTGAATCATAATTTTCTAATATAACAATTTGTTCAGTGTTTGGTACAGCTTAATTATACAATGATATACTGTTAACTTTGATTGTTGACAAACTGGAAACAATAACCCTTTACTCTTGACCGATTCGTAGATAATTTAAAAGACCAACATTTTTCAACGTATTGGCGACACCTTCACTTAGGTGTTAGGAGGCAAGTACTAGCTAAGGACCGTAAATCGATATGTGGCGTATTGAAACTTCACCAGTTGAGGTGGTTGGGACATGTGTTACGAATGCCCAACAACCCTACTACCTCGACAAGCGATGTTTTATTCTGTAGGGGTTAGGGTTGAAAGAAAGCTAGAAGCGCCCAACCCAAACATGACACAAATCCATGAAGCCATGTTAGTAGATGTAGACTGTTAGTTTGAGGTATGCGAGACAACAGTAACCGATAGTTAGAGACTTTGAATGATATGGCTCAAAATCGTTTTCAATGACGCATATGCATTCATTCATTGTCTTATCTCAAACTCTAAAATGTTCTGAATACCTCATGACATTTTTCCATTTTTAAATTTATTTCACTGGAATATACTTCTCGAATGACAACTTCCGGCCTTAATCTTTTCGATTAACGCTAATACTGCTATAAACTCTAGTACCATGAGATTACAACTAACAATTCCATCTGTCTGTACTAATGTAATATGACCACTTGAACTGGTGTAACATACATGCCGAATTCTACGTTGTAACGAAATGACTACTGCAAACGTCCAGCTCAAAAAAAAAACCGATCGATTTACTGGCCATTCAAGTTAGGAGCCGTACTACGAATTTAGTACTGAGCAGTAGTTCGCTCCGTCTTACTTTATGGCTGTGAAACATGGCCAGTGAGAGTAGAAGATATTCGTAGGTTACTGGTTTTCGATCATAGGTGTCTTCGAAGCATTGCTCGTATATCGTCGGACACCCGAGTGAGCAATGCTGTTATTAGGAAAAGGGTGCTAGGTAAGAATGGCAGATCAATAGATGAAGTATTGAAACTTCATCAGTTGAGGTGGTTGGGACATGTGTTGCGTATGCCCAACAACCGACTACCTCTTCGAGCTTTGTTTTGTAGTGTAGGAATAGGTTGGAAGAAAGTTAGGGGCGGCCAAACCAAAACATGGCAGAAATCTATGAAATCATTGACGAGTGGACTTAGCCATGTCGGTAGTTGTCGACTACCTGGTTGGAGTCCGCGAGATGATAATAATCGATGGTTAGAAACCCTGAATAACATGGCTCAAAATCGTTCGCAATGGCGCCGGTGCATTTATTCTTTGTGTTCTCTCAAATCCTAATCTTCTGGGTTCTTCAACAACTCTAGTTTTGACTATCTAAACTTATCTCACTGAATCATACTTCTTGAATAATATCTTCTAATTCTAACCTCTCCGATTACTCCTAATACCCTTACTACCTCTTCTACTATTGGATTGGAATTGACAATTATATCTGTGTACTGATGTGGTATGGCGACATGAACTGATGTACTTACGTACGAAGTTCTACGTTGCAACTGACTGACTGACTGACTGACGAATTTAACACAGCTGTGAAAAAATGACAACAACTAATCAATTACTCTGTCCACACTCTCCATATGTCGACAAACACGTTACCACCTGATCTGATTCCCTAATTAACATACAATCGATATTTGGCGTTACTCTACACTCTACTCTACACACATATTCGAATAGGAATCTTTTTCAATGACCCTTACAATGAATTAATTAACTAGCTAAAACTAACTAACTGAAAGTGAGTGAATACCGGGAAGCACGGTATCAGCTGGACAGTTAGGACGCAGCCGGACAATCTGGACTTCGCAGATGACCTGCCTCTTCTATCGCAAACGCAACAACAAATGCAAGAGAAGACGACCAGTGTAGCAGCAGGTCTCAACATACATAAAGGAAAAAGCAAAATCCTCCGATGCAACACAACATGCACCAACCAAATCACTCTTGATGGAGATGCCTTGGAGGACGTTAACACCTTTACATATCTGGGCAGCATCATCGACAACCATGGTGGATCCGATGCAGATGTGAGGGCACGGATTGGCAAAGCAAGGGCTGCATTTCTACAATTGAAAAATATCTGGAACTCCAAACAACTTTCAACCAAAACCAAAATCAGCATTTTCAATACAAATGTCAAGACAGTTCTGAATTATGGAGCCGAAACTTTAAGAACTACCAAAGCCATCATCCAGAAGATATAAGTGTTGATTAACAGTTGTCTACGCAAAATACTTCGGATTCGTTGGCCAGACACCATCAGCAACAACGAACTGTGGGAGAGAACAAACCAGATTCCAGTGGAGGACGAAATCAGGAAGAAGCGGTGGAAGTGGCTAGGACATACACTACGAAAAGCACCTAACTGCGTCACGAGACAAGCCCTCACATGGAACCCTTAAGACAAAAGGAAAAGAGGAAGGCCAAAGAATACATTACACCGAGAAATAGAGAAAGATATGAGAAGAATGAGCAAACATTGGACAGAACTGGAGAGCGAAGCCCAGGACAGAGTTGGTTGGAGAAAACTGGTGGGCGGCCTATACTCCATTGGGGGTAACAGGCGTAAGTAAGTAACTAACTAACTAACTAACTTCATTAATTCTCTGTTAATAAATATTGAACTTACTAAATATAAATACTTTAATGTTTCACTTAGAAAAAAACTTTCCATACGATCTTCTTTAGATTTATCCACTACATTATGAATAGTTGCAAATCCACATCTGAAAAAAAAATTGAAAAATATAAGCGTAAAAAAAAATAAATTACTGTGTTGTGATTAAGTTTGACAAAGTTCAACTGACAATGGATGCTCACTCAATTCAAGTTGAATACAAGTCAGTTGTTGTTGAACCACCTTGAAGCGTCAATGCAAGCATGTTCAGGATGCGGTTGTCATCACCATCGAGAAATGCATTGGATTGCAGCATCGGCACTTGAACTGGTAGTAGTGATAGAAAGTGTGAAGTAGTCGAGCGTGTAGACCGCTTGACAAAACACACATCATGTATCTGAGAAGTGTCATCAGTGCTAAATGGCCTGGTGATTGAAAAAAAATCTCAGCACGGATATAGAAGGTTCGATTGGCTTTTGTCAACTTGCGTCACTGTTGGCGTAAAAGAGATAATTGTTTGCTAAGCAAAGGACGAGTGTACTACGCAGCAGATCGCTTCGTTCTCGTGTATGGTTGCGAAACATGACCGATAAGAGTAGAAGATATTCGTAGGTTACAAGTATTTGACCATAGATGTCTTAGAAGCATTGCTCGTGTTTCCTGAGACAAACGAGTAAAGAATGCTAACGTTAGGAAAAGAGTATTAGGTGGGAACGGTACATGAATAGATGAAATATTGAAACTTCATCGGTTGAGATGGTTGGGAAATGTGCTACGTATGCCTAACCACCGACTGCCTCGTCAAGCTATATTTTGCGGTGTAGGAATAGGTTGGAAGAAAGCTAAGGGGCGGCCTGACTAAAACATGGTAGAAATGCATGAAGTCACTAATAAGTGGACTGAGTCATGTCGGTAGGTGTCGACTAACTAGTTGGGGTCCGCGAGATCATAGTAATCCATGGTTAGAGAACCTGAATGACATGGTTCAAAATCGTTTGCAATGGCGCAGGTTGCTTTCATTTTCGTTGTTCTTTCAAATCCTAAACTTTTTAATTCTTCATCACTTTATCTTTAACTTTATAAGTCTATTTCTCTAGATTCTACTTCTAGAATAATATCTCCAATCCTAACCTGTCCGACTACTGCTAATACTTTTACTATCTCTACTACAACGGGATTTGAATTGACAATTACATCTCTATGCTCATGTGGTATGGCACCATAAAATGATGTACGTACGTAGGAAGTTCTACCTTGCTATTGATTGATTGACCAGTCGTCAGTTCAAGTGTTAAGTTGTCTATTACAGGAACATAGACTTGTATCAGTTTTCTTAGGTGAAAAACCCATAGATCCGATGGCCTAATTAGCATGGCAGTAGAGCAGTGATAGAAGAAGCAATCAAATTCGTTTATACGCTGCTTATATGTGATGTATTCAACAAATCAGTTCATACATCATCAGATATCAGAGTTTGTCGTTCGAAATAAAAAGAATCCTCAGTCAGTCAGTTGCAACGTAGAACTTCGTACGTATGTACATAAGTTCATGTTGCCATACCACATTATTAGCACAGAGACGCAAATGTCAAATCAAATCCCATAGTGATAAAGATAGTGGAGGTAATAATGTTATAATAAAGAAGACTAGGGTTTAAGATATTATTCAAAAAATATAATTCAGTGAGATAAGGTTAGAAAGACAAAGGTAGAGGTGCTGGCTAATCCAGAAGATTAGGATTTGAGAGAGCTCAAAGAGTGGATGCACCTGCGCCATTGCAAACGATTTTGAGCCATGTCGTTCAAGGTCTCTAACCATTGATGACTTTCGTCTCGCGGACCCCAACCAGGTAGTCTACATCTACCAACATGACTCAGTCCACTTGTCAGTGACTTCATGGATTTCTGCCATGTTTTGGTCTGGCCGCCCCTAGCTTTCTTCCAACCTACTCCTACACCACAAAACATAGCTCGTCGAGGCAGTCGGTGGTTAGGCATACGTAACACATGTCCCAACCACCTCAACTGATGAAGTTTCACCATTTCATCGATTGATCTGCCATCCTTACCTAGTACTCGTTTCCTAACGACAGCATTGCTTACTCGGCTGTCCCACGATATACGAGCAATGCTTCTTAAACATCTATGATGGGTCATCACGATAGGCAAGCCCGACCACCACGTCAAGGTAGCAGCTTCGGTCGGGAAAAAAAAAAGAAAAAAAAAGAAAAAAGAATCCTACAGAATGAATAAGTGTTAAGAAAGGAGTTTTATAGTCAAAAGCATTATTATTGGTACCAAAGAGCACACAAATCAATGAATTAGTGAGTGTGTCGTGATACTGCCGAACTAAGTCGTTTTCCTGGAAGGTCGCACTCACTGAGCCTTTAAACTAGAGGTTTAATTCACAAGGCAGTGAAATAATGATAGGAGATTCAGTTTCATTATTTCATCTGGATCCTACAGTCCATGTGCTGCATTAGTTTGGAACAAGAGTTTTCCAACTATCATAAGTAGATTATCTATAACCGCCAAAGCGGTTAAAATGACGCACAATCGCTATTCGTTCTTTTGATTCCGTAAACAACATCTCACCACGAGAGGACCACCAAGGAGTGAGTAGGAATTCTCTGGCAGAGAATATCCACTTATTAACCCATATGAGAGCTTTCTGTGCATACCAGTCAATCCAAATCCCGTATTAGTGGTACAGGTAGTACAATTATTGTACATATGGATTGTGGGATAGAGGAACGATTTTCAATTTCAATTCAGTCCCAGTAGTATCAAAAGTTTTACTGTCATTCAAAGGCCAGAGTTATGGTCGTGTAACAAACAGTTTATTTATTATATATATAGTTAGTGGGACATAGATTGGATTAAAGCATGATTGCGTTGCTGCACGTTGATTGGGTCTTTCGCATCCAATCAACACAAGCCAATACTGAGGGAATATTCTTTGAATCTTCGCACTAACATCTTTTTTTCCTTTGGCACTTCTGTCTTCCATATAGCCTTGTTATTGGAATATAATCTCTATTTCCTGTTCAACTGTGTTCTGATTTCAAGAGAACGTCTCGAGTGCATTGGTGACCGAGAATACTAAGCACTAGAAATAGCTGGGTTGGAGTAAAGAGAGAATTATAATGTATATATATATATATATATATATATATATATATATATATATATATATATGTTAGGATATTCACCAAATATCCTAAGAATACTATTTTTAGAAGTGTAATCTTATTGGTCGATTTCTATTGGTCAAAATTATGGTCGTTTTAACTGTCAAAGTCAAATACTTCAATGTTGTCTCTGATTGGTCATCCGGACTGTCAATGTCATTTCAAGTGTTCTTTCCTATTGGTCGTCCTGAACTGCCAATATCACAGACTTTGATGCTCTTTATATATATATATATATATATATATATATATATATATATATATATATATATATATATATACATGAAAATCTTACTTCGACTTGGTATATTTATTGATATCATTTAAAATATCTTTGCCAACATGTAAATAAAATGGATGTTTTGTTGCTCTATACAAAAAATAAGTTGATTCAACAAATTCTGGACGTAATGGATAAAAATATAATTCTGGTTTCTCTGTAACAATATTATAACGTTCTGGTGGTAGATTATAAATTTTCCAAATAAAATAATGTATAGCATGATGACATATTGCTTCATTTAAATCCCCATGCAGAACCTAGATTAATAATAATAATAATAATAATAATAATAATAATAATAATAATAAACGGAGAGTTATTAACAACGTTCAACATTCAACTATGAGTTATTCAAAAGTAAATAAGCACTGGTCAAATTACAACTTGATATTATGAATACTTCTGTTAATCAAAATCAATTCGAGATCAGTTGACTAGTGTTTAATTTTTTTTGATTATTCAAATATGCAATAGATTATAGTTAGTCAGCTACAATATATAGAAGTTTGTACGTGCATACATACATCGGTTCAAATAACATAGAGAGATGAAATCGTCAATTCAACAAATCCCATAGTTATGCGCAAGTAATTGGAAAGATGAAAGTTGGAAGATATTATTATTATTATTATTATTATTATTCAAGAAGTATAATCGAATGAACGAAATTTCAGGAGAGAGAGAGGTCATCAAGTATTCAGATTAGAATTTCGGCGAACACAAACAATGGATAATACACCTGCCCTATTGCAAACAATGTCGAGTTATGTCATTCAAAGTCTCTATCGGTTACTGTTGTCTCGCAGTCTACATGTACTAACATAGCTCAATCAACTTGTCAGTGACTTCATGCATTTCTACCATGTTTTGGTTTGGCCCCCCTCTCACCTAACTTTCTCACAGCCATACACAAATACCGGGCAGGCATCGTTGCCGATCGAGACAGTCGGTGGTTGCGCACTCATAACACATATCCCAACCACCTCAACGGATGAACATTTACTGATCAACCATCCTTACCTAGTACCTCCTTTCCTAACACCTAAGTTAAGGTGTCACCAATATGTTGAGAAAAAGTTTGTCTTATGAATTATCTACAAGTCAGTTGAAAGTCAAAGGTTATTTTATCCAGTTTATCAAAAATGAAAATTTGACAATGTCTCATAAATGCTTCAATAAAACTATATCAGTCAGATGCAACGTAAAACTTCGTACGTATGTACATCAGTTCATGTCGCCATACCACATCAGCACAGAGATATAATTGTCAATTCCAATCCAATAGTAGAAGAGGTAGTAAGGGTATTGGAAGTAATCGGAGAGGTTAGAATTAGAAGATATTATTCACGAAGTATGATTTGATGAGAAAAGTTTAGATAGTCAAAACTAGAGTTGTTGAAGAACCCAGAAGATTAGGATTTGAGAGAACACAAAGAATAAATGCACCGGCGCCATTGCGAACGATTTTGAGCCATGTTATTCAGGGTTTCTAACCATCGATTATTATCATCTCGCGGACTCCAACCAGGTAGTCGACAACTACCGACATGGCTAAGTCCACTCGTCAATGATTTCATAGATTTCTGCCATGTTTTGGTTTGGCCACCCCTAACTTTCTTCCAACCTATTCCTACACTACAAAACAAAGCTCAACGAGGCAGTCGGTTGTTGGGCATACGCAATACATGTTCCAACCACCTCAACTGATGAAGTTTCACCACTTCATCCTATTGACCTGCCATTCTTACCTAGCACCCGATTCCTAATAACAGCATTGCTCACTCGGGTGTCCCACGATATACGATCAATGCTTCGAAGACACCAATGATCGAAAACCAGTAACCTACGAATATCATCTACTCTCACTGGCCATGTTTCACAGCCATAAAGTAAGACGGAGCGAACTACTGCGCAGTACACTCGTCCTTTAGTCAGCAAACGGATATTTCGCCTACGCCATAAGTGACGCAGGTTGGCAAAAGCCAACCGACCGTAGCTGCTACATTGACGTGGTGGTCGGGCTTGCCTATCGTGATGACCCAACCGAGCTATACTGGCTAAGACATATGTTCCTGCAGGTCCTACCATGCCAGGCTGGTCGATTGGAGAACGATCAGACTAAAAGCAGCTACTCAAGGTCTGAGGGCGAAGTCGTACTGCTGACTGTGATGGAGGGGTGTGACAGCAGTAAAGTGTTTCCCTTGGACAGCCAGCATCTTCAGCGATGCTGCCTTCTCTCAATGAAAGGAAGGGTTAGAAAAGGTCGACCCTAAAAATGTCACACCTAACCTTACCTCGTGGATTTCCGTCTCCTTGGGTAAGGGTGCCCACTAAGGGCCTTTAAGAACGGAGCTAATCCGCAAAAAACGTTTCATAAAAAGACCGTGCGTGACCGGCCTCAAGCAGTTATCCCTTGGGCTCTGAGGTCACGCAACCAGGTCTCTAAGACCAACACTAATGTATTTTCGTTGTTGTACTCTGTTAGTTGGTTGTTGTCTCTCTTCTGTCAAGTTAGTAGTGGTAGTACAATGGTTTGCCTTATGTCTTGTTGGAGTTTCTACACTTATTCCTGCTGTTGTTTTTTCTTTTTATTGATGACACAACACTAACCAAAACAACATCCAGCTCAGAGAACCAAACACCCCACCATCACCAACCACAATAAGACATGCATTAATGTCAGTTCAGTTGGAGCGCACCTGTTTTGACAAAGCAAATAAATAAAAAATGAGAGAGAGAGAAAAAATATATATATGAAACTTACTAATACACCAGACCAAGCCGATTGTAATGTATCTATCCAATGATTGATTTTATTACCAGTATACATATCAACATTCCAATAGATTGGTGGTGTACCATTACCAGTTAAACATTGTGATCGACCAGTTCGTAAATGATATTTTATACTATCTAATGCTTCATAGAACATTTGTCCTAATACATTATCACCAAATAGAATATAAGACTAAATAGATTTATTTTTTTTAAAAAAACAGAAAAGAAAACAATAAGAAATATGATGAATTATTGATTTGAATTCAGAGAATATGAAATTGTATAATATAATCTTAAATGAATGGTAAAGAGTTACACCATTGTCATCATATAATTGAAGATGATTGAATAAAATTGTTTTAATTAACTTAGAAAGAAATTTTAGGATATTTAATTGTGACCAATTCGATCTCTTGCGCTGGTGGTAAGGGGTATGAAAGCGGGTGAAGGATGATAGATTAGTGTTGGTCTTGGAGACCTGGGGTCATGACCGCAGTACCCAAACGACAATTGCTTGAGGCATGGGATTTTTTTATGAGAGGTTTTCAGAGTATTAGCTCCGCTCTTTTTAAAAGGCCTTACCACCGGAGATGGAAATCCATGAGGTGAGGTGAGTTGAGGTGTGACATTTTTAGGGTCGACCTTTTCTAACCCCTTCCTTTCATTACTAGAAGGCAGCATCGCTGCAGATGCTGGTTGTCCGAGGGTGTTAAGATATTCATCCAATATCCTAAGAGAATTTTATTGGTCAATTCCTATTGGTTAATTCCTACTGGTCAATTATAATGGTCGTCCTAGATATCAATGTCATGTACTCCAATGTTGTTTCTTACTGGTCGTCGTGACTGTTAATGTCACTTCAAATGTTGTTTCCTATTAGTCGACTTAACTGTCAATGTCACAGACTTCGATGCTGTTTCCTATTCGACCAAAATGTATAAATACGCATTATCTGTAAAGTTTTATGACCCGGACCCGGATACTTAGCCTCTTCTGAACTCGTACCTCGTACTTTCTGGAAGCTTGTAGAATACAGGTTCTACTTTATATCAAGTCTCCTTCTTTCATTCAATAGGAGTTGGGACACTCGGTTAAGATTAGCAAATCGTATCGCCGGATCTTCGATCCTCGCTCTAGTTTTCCGACTAAGGCAAACTCGTAATAGTTCAAGCATATCAAAATGACGTGTTTAAGTGCAGGCGTAACAGAGGGAAACAACTTACTGTTATCACACCCCTCTGCAGTCAGCAGTACGACTTCGCCCTAAGATCTTGAGTTGCTGCCCTTAGTCTCATCATTCTCCAATCAACTTGCCCGGTATGGTAGAACCTTCAGGAACATATGTTCCAGCCAATATAGCTTAGTTCAGTCAGTCATCACGATAGGCAAGACCGACCACCACGTCAAGGTAACAATTACAGTCGAAAGAAAACAGTCTTGCATACACATTCTGTCACCCTAATTTTTACAGCTTATCTACTGTCATCAATACACTAACTGATGTGATATTTGCCAAAAAAAGACAACCTTATCGTGTCAAAAAAAAAATGACGGTAAAAAATAAATGTGAACCTGAAAAAACAGAGAATCATGTGATATACAACCACAATTGATACTTTCAATCATTTGTGAATAATCAATTCATCTGGAAATATTTTTATTGGTGGCGGTTTTGTAGCTCATTTATTACACATAAATAATGGGTAAGTGAATTTTGGGTCACCACTATTTAAACGAATGATAGCAATGGTACTTGATTATCCAAATCAAACTGAAATAAAGGCAGAACCTAAGGGTTCAACATTAACTAAGTAACCCAGGCATTGAAACAAAACACATATCTCAATACTCAAACAGTTTACAATCCTCTCACAATTAATGACAAAAAATATCATTATAATGAGATTTTTATGATTTCCTGCGAGTGAAAATCTATTTTATTAGACGGCAAATGGTTCTAGATATTGTTCAGTCAGTCAGTCAGTTGCAACGTAGAACTTCGTACGTATGTACATCAGTTCATGTCGCCATACCATACGCAAATGTCAAATCATATCCCATAGTGATAAAGATAGTGGAGGTATTAATGTTAATGAAGAAGACTAGGGTTCGAAGATATTATTCAAGAAATATAATTCAATGAGATAAGGTTAGAAAGACAAAGGTTAAGGTGCTGACGAATCCAGAAGATTAGGATTCGAGAGAGCTCAAAGAGTGGATGCACCTGCGCCATTGCAAACGATTTTGAGCCATGTCGTTTAAGGTCTCTAACCATTGATGACTTTCGTCTCGCGGACCCCAACCAGGTAGTCTACATCTACCAACAAAACTCAGTCCACTTGTCAGTGACTTCATGGATTTCTACCATGTTTTGGTCTGCCCGCCCCTAACTTTCTTCCGACCTATTCCTACACTACAAAACATAGCTCGTCGGGGCAGTCGGTGGTTAGGCATACGTAACACATGTCCCAACCACCTCAACTGATGAAGTTTCACCATTTCATCTATTGATCTGCCATCCTTACCTAGTACTCGATTCCTAACGACAGCATTGCTTACTCGGCTGTCCCACGATATACGAGCAATGCTTCTTAAACATCTATGATCGAATACTAGTAACCTAATCTCGTATACCCGCAAAAGCACACGAGATATTGTTAAGTTCCATTATTAAAAACCTGGAAGCACTGAATGGCCATTTTCCGCTAGCATACGACTCATCAGCAGTTCACAACCATGATTCTGCTAGCGACAATCGAGCACAAGATCTTCGGTCTCACATGTGAATACCTAATCACTGTACCACTGAATCGGCATCCAACAGTGTTAATGTCTAAAATATATATTCAATGATGAACGATGTGTAAAAGTTATTTTACTATTGTAAATATTTATATTTCCTTAGAAAAAACGGTTCATTTAATTAAGCAACATTTTTGATAAGTTCGTCACTTAATATGCTTGAGGCTATTACGAGTTTACCTTAGTCGATAAACGCGAACGAGACTTTTACCAGCTTCCAGGGAGGCTACCTTGAATACCCAAAGTCGAAATAGAAGGCTTTGTAAGCGTAGAAGTATATTCTACAAACACCCAGCAATCACAGTACAATCAAGCATACAACTCTCGTTTATTTATACAACATAGGAACGTCCTTGAGACAGTTAAGAAAATAGCATACTAAAATACACTGCAGCCAATCACAGCCATGGATTTTGCTGGTGGGAATTGAAATCTCAAGGTCATCTGATCAGCCCATGCTGGCGAAACGTAAAAACCAAAATACGGCATTATCAAGCGAATTTTGGGGATCTAACATCCCCAACACTCCTCCCCTTTTTAATAGCGTATGCTCGTGGGGTCGATTTGCATCTTGACTATTGTTCGTCGCTGTCTGAGGGGATACCTTCGGGAACGAAGAACAGCTTGCTGCTGAGTTTCTTCTCGTGGCGGGGCTCTCGGTAGGTTGAAGGTATCAGGCAAGATGTCAAGGGGAAGGCTTTCTGCTCTTGATGGGCGATCTGGGGCTAGCCGTCTGCGTATCTGATTTCGATGACGTGACCATTTATCACCTCCTACCTCTACTTCGTACATAACTCGACCAACTCTTCTGACCACTCTCGCTTCTGCCCAAGGACCATGGTTCGTTCTGTAGTCGCGGGCAAACACAGGGCATCCTACTTCGTAAGCGGATTGTCTTTGCTGCTTTGACTCTACTGATGAGGGTGCATTAGTCGGATGCATCAGGCTATAGATCGTTTTCAATCTTCTTCCCATCAGGATTTCTGCTGGGGACCTTTGCTCCGGTAACAATTCATTTGGTGTTGTCCGATAGACGTACAAGAAATCGGCTGGCGTCCCCTCCCCTTTTGACTTAAGCAGTGCTCTTTTAAACGTATCCACAAACCTTTCCGCCTGCCCATTCGATTGCGGGTGGTGTGGTGGCGAGCGTAAGTGTTCAATGGCAAGCCGTTGACAGAAATTCTGGAATTGGGAAGAGGTGAATTGAGAGCCATTGTCGGATACGATCACATCTGGTATGCCGTTTCGTGAGAAAATTTCAGAAAGGAGCTTTATAGTCTTAGTTGTAGTGGGCGGCATAACGGGGCTGATTTCCGGCCATTTAGAAAAGGCGTCGACGAATCAATAGTTGAAGACATAGGAATTATCATTACAATAGCACAGACGAATATATACACTCTTCACTTATCGCTTTAGATCTTGGATCCTAGTATTCCTTCATCAACAAACAAAGATCAATAATAAAAGCTTAAAATGCTTAACTTACTTTATGTAAATATTCAAAAAATGAATCTTGTCCAGCACCAAGACCGCTCATTCGATTTATCCATTCACCTGAATCCACATCGATTGTTGAACCTGTTTGTGAAATGATTAAAAAAAAATACAATAATGAGGAAATGCAAAAGAAAAAAGTGAGAATAATTACAATGCACAGCATGTATTATATATATGCAGTGAAACACAAATGGTTACCGCCAGTCAGCAGAGATAGGATAGTAAGCTAACAGTTTAATGCAGGATGGCCTGGTGACTGACGAAATCTCAGCACAGATACAAAAGGCTCGATTGGCTTTTGCCAACCTGCGTCACTTATGGCGTAGGCGAGATATCCGTTTGCTAACTAAAGGACGAGTGTACTGTGCAGTAGTTCGCTCCGTCTTACTTTATGGCTGTGAAACATGGCCAGTGAGAGTAGAAGATATTCGTAGGTTATTTGTTTTCAATCATAGGTGTCTTCGAAGCATTGCTCGTATATCGTCGGACACCCGAGTGAGCAATGCTGTTATTAGGAAACGGGCACTAGGTAAGAATGGCAGATCAATAGATGAAGTATTGAAACTTCATCAGTTGAGGTGGTTGGGACATGTGTTGCGTATGCCTAACCACCGACTGCCTCGTCGAGCTCTGTTTTGTAGTGTAGGAATAGGTTGGAAGAAAGTTAGGGGCGGCCAGACCAAAACATGGCACAAATCCATGAAACCATTGACGAGTGGACTTAGCCATGTCGGTAGTTGTCGACTACCTGGTTGGAGTCCGCGAGATGATAATAATCGATGGTTAGAGACCTTGAATGACATGGCTGAAAATCGTTCGCAATGGCGCCGGTGCATTTATTCTTTGTGTTCTCTCAAACCCTAATCTTCTGGATTCTTCAACAACTCTAGCTTCGACTATCTAACCTTATCTCACTGAATCATACTTCTTGAATAATATCTTCTAACCCTAACCTCTCCAATTACTCCTAATACCCTTACTACCTCTTCTACTATTGGATTTGAATTGACAATTATATCTCTGTGCTGATGTGGTATGGCGACATGAACTGATGTACTTACGTACGAAGTTCTACGTTGCAACTGTCTGACTGTACTTACTTACTTACTTACTTACGCCTGTCACCCCCCAATGGAGCATACGCCGCCCACCAGTTTTCTCTAACCAACTCTATCCTGGGCTTCTCTTTCCAGTTCTTGTTCATTCTTCAACATGTCTTTCTCTATTTCTCAACGCAATGTGTTCCTTGGCCTTCCTATTTTCCTTTCACCTTAAGGGTTCCATGTGAGGGCTTGTCTTGATCGCACGATGTGCGTTTTGTTGTAATGAGTAGTTTTTTTTAGCCTATTAATAATTGATTTAGTGGTACTTACTCAGTAGGTAAAAATTCAGAACCGATCAATGATGATCGAATGACAGTATTAACCTACGCAATGATGTAGTTAGTATATACATTGTTTTACTGTTATGATAGTACAGACGCGTAATGTAATTCATTTAGTAAGCGTAGGTTTTTGTAATCGACTTTCAAAACACACTTTAGTCAGGTGAGTCAGTCAGTTACAATGTAAAACTTCGTGCATAGGTACATCAGTTTAGGTTGTCATACTGCATTAGCACAGAGAAGCAATTGTCAGTTCAAGTCCCATAGTGGTAGTATTAGCAGAACGGAAGAAGATTAGGGTTCGAAGATCTTATTCAAGAAGTATAATTCGGTGAAAAAAAAACTTAGAAAGAGAAAGGTAGAGGTGATGAGGAATTCATAAGGTTAGAATTCGAGAGAACACAAAGAGTGGATGCACTTGCGCCATTGCAAACGATTTTGAGCCATCGGTTACTTTCATCTCGCGGACCCCAACCACGTAGCCTGCATCTGTTCCTGAAGGTTCTACCATGCCAGGCTGGTCGATTGGAGAACGATGAGACTAAAAGCAGCTACTCAAGGTCTGAGGGCGAAGTCGTACTGCTAACTGCAGAGGAGTGTGACAGCAGTAAGGTGTTTCCCTCGGACAACCAGCATCTGCAGAGATGCTGCCTTCTCGCAATGAAAGAAGGGTTTGCAAAGGTCGACCTAAAAATGTCACACCTCACCCGACCTAACGGATTTCCGTCTCCGGTGGTAAGGGTGCCCACTAAGGGCCTTTAAGAGCGGAGCTAATACTCTAAAAACCTTTCATAAAAAGGACGTACGTGACAGCCTTAAGTAGTTGTTCTTTGGGCTCTGTGGTCACGCTTCCAGGTCGTTAAGACCAACGTCCTTTTCAGGTTCCTCAAGAAACACCCACAGTGTGGGCAGCTGGCAAGTGACATGCGCCCTCATACCCGTGCCAGCAGACGAGATCAAGCTGGTCACAATCAATTCCTTCCCACACCCCATAACATCTCTTATTTATGTGAAGACTAGTGGTACTAACTGGCTATTGAAACTGAAGCAAACAGAGTAAAGTTCCAACCTAAAATCTATTCATTGAAATTTTGGGTGCTTTAAGTGTTTAAACCACCAGTTCACTATGGTCAACGACGATATGAAAACACAAATTTAATATGATTATAGTGTCGATAATTCATAGCAAGTAATCACTGTAATTTAAATTGATGATAGTTACTTTATTTATAATCTTCCAATCACTGGAGAAGTAAATCTCTCCCTAGCATTTTCTGAATAAGTTGATTATTCAGAGAATAACACAAGAACATATTGCACGGTAAAAACAGAGGACTTCTTTCGTACAGAACAAATTAGTGAAACATTCAACTCTGGTATATATATATATCCGTAAGCTATGCTAATAATCAACTACTCCAACTTCCATACCGTAGAAACGACAATATGCTTCAAATCATCAGTCATTGTTAGACCACCATCAAAAACCTGGAAGCACTGGAAGACGGCTGTTTCATCCTGGTATGTGACTCGTCAGCAGTGCGCATCCACGACTCCTGCACCTCGCAGGATTCGAACCTGGGACCTTCGGTATTGTGCGCGGACGCCTAACCATCGGACCACTGGGCCGGCATCCAACGGTGTTAATGTCTAACTCTGATTGGTTAGGCGTTCGCACACAATACCGAAGGTCCCGGGTTCGAATCCTGCGAGGTGCAGAAGTCGTAGATGCGCACTGCTGACAAGTCACATACCAGGATGAAACAGCCGTCTTCCAGTGCTGCTTCCAGGTTTCTAATGGTGGTCTAACAATCATTGATTGATGATTTCAAATGTGTAAAAAAAAACAAACCTCCAAAACTCTGCCTGAAAAGACAATATGTTTGATGAAACACATAAGTAAAACGAATGAGGAATCTAATGAAATGAAAACCAACTAAAAATACTTTTTATTCATCTGTATGTACTACACTAAATGTTTATAATAAACAAAATAAACTGGTAATAGTAAACCAATAAAACCCCTAACAAATATAGAGAGCTAACAATTACCGAATAGTCCAGAAACACTTGATCGTCTTTTCCATAAATTTAAAACAATACGACGAGCTATTGAAGCATAACTAGAATCATTTAGTAATGCGCTCAAAGATCCAAATTCCAATAATAATGAACCAGCACCAGCAAGGCAATTTTCAGTTGTTGTATTATCTTTAAGACCAGAATTTAAATGAAATCGAGGATAAGGTATACCAGTTGGTGTATCCTAAAAAGATGAAACATGAAAAAAACATTAGAAACAGTAATATAACTGAAATGAGAATACACACAATACAATGGTTTTGATAATTTTACCAAAATCAATGCCAGTATTGAACAGATAATGAAAGCTTAGAAATTTGAATAACTACATTTTAGGTTTAAAACCTATTCAGTCTACTGTCGTCTGCAGAAGGATTTGATTTTGACCAATTTGTTCTCGCGTGTTGTTGCGGGTATGAGAACGGTTGTCACTTCCCGGCTGCCCACACCGTGGAAGGTTGTTTCTTGAGAGACCTGAAAAGGAAGATAGATTAGTGTTGGTCTTGGAGACCTGGTTGCGTGACCGCAGAGTCCATGGGACAACTGCTTGAGGCCGGTCACGCACGGCCTTTTTACGAAAGGTATTTTGAGGATTAGCTCCGTTCTTAAAGGCCCTTAGTGGGCACCCTTACCCAAGGAGACGGAAATCCATGAGGTAAGGTTAGGTGTGACATTTTTAGGGCCGACCTTTTCTAACCCTTCCTTCCTTGTGAGAAGGCAGCATCGCTGCAGATGCTGGTTGTCCGAGGGAAACACCTTACTGCTGTCACACCCCTCCATCACAGTCAGCAGTACGACTTCGCCCTCAGACCTTGAGTAGCTGCTTTTAGTCTCATCGTTCTCCAATCGACCAGCCTGGCATGGTAGGACCTGCAGGAACATATGTTCCAGCCAGTATAGCTCGGTTGGGTCATCACGATAGGCAAGCCCGACCACCACGCCAAGGTAGCAGCTACGGTCGGGAGTCTGCAGACCAAGATAGCATAACTAGTTGTCATTAATAAAAGTATGTTCCGAAATCGAATATACATATTTGAACTAGGTGAGATACACTTAGTAATTCTATTGTTTCAATGTGACAAAAAACGGAATCCGATTTTCGAAAAGGTCAACAAGTGTGTGAGGAATCCGAGAAAATTAACAGGAGCTGGCTCCGGTGAAGTATTCTTAACACAGGAAAACAAAATCACACTGAGATTTAGAAAAAAGAAATGTGCATAGTTCTGTTGCATGTCAGACATGTTTGCATGGTTTGGAATGTGATTATCTCGCTTCATACGCAAAAGATTGCTTCAAGAATGGCCTACGTTGGCATATGTATTAATGGTACAGAATGAGGTATTTGAACGTAACGACTACTACACTTATCTTGCGAATCCTATCAGTTCACATGGTCTGATATCCGACGAAATCTCAGCACGGATAAAGAAGACTCGGTTGGTTACTGATAACTTGAATCAAGTTGTAATGTAGATGAAATATTCATCTATCAACTAAAGGACCCATTTAGCTGAACTGAAGCCCGCTTTGTTTGAATTTATAGGTGAGAAACACGGTGAAATAAGGTTCGTATTTTGCCTTCACTGTAAGAGGTCACTAAACTGCTTAGAACGAACAGTGGACGATTTGTCCGCGTATACAATTCATTCGCAATACACCAGATACCCAGCCAGCACTATCCTACAATGCTTCAACACAATTCAGATCAAGAACACATGATTCACTTGAATAGAACATGTAATAGCCAACAATCAACAACCGAGAATAATAATCTCGGGTCACCCATTCCATTGATATAAAATTAATTGTAACTAAACAAAAAGCGTAGATTCCTTTAAACCAATGTCGCCATTGAGAACTGCATCCCAAATATGCTTGCATTGTTGTTTAAAGTGGTCAGAAGACTGCATTTTGTTAGCGTTTTCACCAAGTAAAACTATGTCATCGGCACATTTTAAGTCAACAAGTCGATCTCCCAGTAACAGTTCAACTCCTGAAAAGTCAGACGATGAAAGTGTCGTTTCTAAAAGCACATCCATAGTAAAGTAAAATAAGGTTGGAGAAAGTGGACAGCCCTGACGAACATCATTTGAAATAATCAATGCTGATGACAGTTCGCCACATGCTCTGACTCAACCAGTAGTGTTCGAGTAGATAGCTTGTATACGGTTAATGTATTTCTTTGGTGCACCTTCCAATGACAGACACTTCCATCAAACCTTACGACCGACTGAGTTAAATTCTGCTTTAAGGTCAGGGAAGACAACTATTATCGGACACCAAAATGTGCGTGTTCTATGACCTGTCGAAGTGTGAATATCTGGTCTATACATCCATGTCCACGTATGAAACCAGACTGGTTTTCGCGAGTATGCTCTCCATAAGCTCCAGTCCGACGTCTAAGTATTATCGAGGCTAACATTTTGAGATGGTGGAGAAGATTTGTAGCTCAGGTGGATGATTTTGGTGGTAGTGTTTGGTTCTCTGAGCTGGATGTTTTGGTTAACATTTCAGAAACTTGAATTAGTCAGTTCCGATGACAGTTCCTCATAAGCTCTGACTCGACCAGTAGTGTTCCAGTGATCTTACTGAATCGTCAGCATCTTCAAAATCGTAAGTACCTAATTCTATTATAACTTCGAATACTATTGCGAATTCCATAAGTGAAATTACTTACAGGTTAGCTTCCCATCCCAGAAAGGATATTCGCATGTTACTAGTATTCTATCATACGTGTCTTCAAAACAATGGTCATATATTCTGGGACCACAGATTAGGAAATGCCTACTGTGTTAGAGATGGGATATACGGTGAAGCGAATCGACTGAAGTAATTTGTCAACTGATGTGGTGGAAGGCATATTACCTACACCCACCCACCGAGTACATCAATGGCAGATGGGGTTTAGTCTATGAATAGACTGGTACAGAGCTAGAGGCGGCTAAACGAAAACATGGGGCAAGTTCATGAAGACATTGATAATTAGTACTGTTAACAGGTGCAGACTATTTGGTTGGGGTCAGTATAATTAACATAAACAGTAGTTGAAAACCCCGAATAGCACGGTTGATAATCGTTTGCAACGACGAAAGCCCATCCACTTTTATTCTTTCCCCGAATTCTAAGCTTCATAACTCCTTGATTTCTCTTATCTCATTAATCTTTTTTCAGTAACATCTTCCGTCTCTAACCTCGATCACCACAACTACTGCCACGTTCTTTACCACATCTCAACAAACGGAGTATAGCAGCAACTTGGATTGGTTTATGGAAAGCGTCGAAAATATTTTTAAAAATAAGCAGTAACCTATTGTAGTTAACTTGAAAGCTAAGATGAAAACCACCGACTACGAGTGATAACCTCTAATTATGAAGATCGCTCAAATATTTCTAAAAATGAACTAGCCTTGTTTTTAAAATATCGCTTACTCGGATAAACCAGTGGCTAATGTAACCTACTGCACAATCGAAAGCATAGGATACTTTCGTACATGTAAACATTGATAGACAGTGTACATTATCATATAAGATCAACTAGAAATCCTGACGCAATAGAGTTGAACTGAGTACATCAGAGCTTAATCTGACTTGATAACGTTTAATAGAACCCTGGGAGGTTTTAGTACTATCAGGTTAATAAGCCACTTTTAACAGTAATAAGTATAATACTTACGTAAAGCGCATCTAGCATCCTGTTTGCCAGGTTACGTGCAAAATTCAATAACTCGTCATCATATTCTGGTGGTCGCAGATGTCCGAATGACTGACTTGGATCAGTAATGATTATATGCGCTGATAGAAGACCTCCTAATACTCTAGAAAATTACAATCAACTAACAGCTTACCTAATAGTTGCTTCAAAAACCTGCACCCTTGTTTTTTGATTAAAGGAAAGGTGTTTGATAACTAAACCAACGGCATTCTTGAAATCCTCAGTTTTGCCCATGATCTACGGACTAGGCGAATGATTATATATTACTTACTGCTAACGTATCAAGAGAGTCTACAAGTGTAAGTAGATAGTCACCAAGAGCATCATTCACATTTATATTGTCAGGATTTTGGTGATCATAGCCACGACCAACACAATCAATTGGGTTCAGTTCATCATGTGGGAATCCATATTTAAGGTAGCCATCATATGCAAAACTAAACATGTCAGAAACCGAGCTAGCAAGCAACTTTTTCTCACTGCTAGACATAGTTACATTTAAGAGGTTCAACCAATGCCTAGAGCTAGTTCTTTTGCTGTGTTCAAAAGAAGGATGTGCATAGTGCAACTCTATACACAACAAGTTGAGAATCGTAAGGCTAAACAAGTGAGCAAACCCCATTGAACCAGAGGTTTGACTTCAACATCACTCGTGGTATATTCGAACGTGGCATTTCTAGGTCACTAGTGTACGTAACATTTCTGATGCATTCAAATAAAACGACCACTAGCACGAAAGAGCTGGATTAGGAAATGCAAGGTCGATACTAACCTATAAAATTCGTGATTAACACGATCAGTGTTATGGATTTCAGGTAACTTCAGACTGGGAACGTAGTATTCCAAGCCGCAAATTGCGGTGGGCAAAAGCTGTGCTTTGTCTGGTTCTAGGGATTTACAAGTGGCTTGTCAGAGAAACTTCTCCTCTGTCTAAAGAGCTAATTATTTTTTAATCTGACTCGCCAGTTCTAACTCCGCCAGTAGAGCCTTAGGAGCTGCTACCTGTCCCAAGCCCGGATAAAGGAGGAGGGTTGGACATGGGGTTGGCTACCCCATTCCGTCGAAATCTAACTTGCCCAAAAAACGCTAACCAGAAAAAACAATCCAAACCATTTCAACTATGCCCTGGCAGTTAGAAGAAGAATTATGACGTCTCCTGATGAAAGCCGAGTTCTCTCGGAAGTCACGGAGCCGATGCCTCTTCTGACAACCAGAGCAACCATTCTTTTTGGTACATAGAACGTTCGTACATTGTGGGAGACTAGAAGACTATTTCAAGTTGCGGCAGAAATGAAAAGATACAACCTCGAGGTGCTCGGCATCAGTGAAACACATTGGACACAGGTAGGACAACTGAGACTAGCTTCAGGAGAACTGCTGTTATACTCTGGTCATGAAGAGGAAAATGCTTCACATACACAACGAGTTGCACTGATGCTGTCCAAACAAGCACAAAAGGCACTGATAGGATGGGAATCTCATGGACCCAGGATCATTAAGGCATCCTTCGAAACAAAGAAAGAGGACATTACAATGAACGTCATCCAATGTTATGCACCTACCAATGACTACAATGTCGACGTTAAAGATCAATTCTACGAAAGGCTGCAGTCAATCGTCGACAGATGCTCACCAAAGGATTTGACGATTCTTATGGGAAGGAATTGATCTCTGTTGATACTCTTGCGAAAATTGAAGAAAGGAGGAACAAGAAGGCGGCAGTCTGTGTCAGCCGAACAAGAGCAGAGAAAGTTACCACACAAGCTGCACACACAGAAGCTAACAGGGAAGTGAAGAAGAGCATCAGAGCTGACAAACGAAAATATGTGGAAGATCTAGCAATGACGGCGGAAAAGGCTGCAAGAGACGGAAACTTGAGACAACTGTACGAAACAACAAAGAAGCTTGCTGGAAACCATCGTAAACCAGAACGACCAGTGAAGTGCAAGGAAGGCAAAGTAATCAGTAACACTGAACAACAGCGAAACAGGTAGGTAGAGCACTTTAAGGAACTCCTAAATCGACCAGCTCCACTGAACCCACTCAACATCGAAGCAGCATCTACGGACCTCCCAATAGATGTTCGCGCAGCTACAGTTGAAGAGATCAGTATGGCCATCAAACAAATCAAGAGCGGCAAAGCAGCAGGACCAGACAACATTCCACCAGAGGCAATCAAAGCAGACGTGGAAGCAACTGCAAATATATTTCACATTCTCTTCAACAAGATTTGGCATGAGGAACAAGTACCATCAGATAGGAAAGAAGGATACCTCATCAAAATACCGAAGAAAAGTGATCTCAGCAAGTGTGAGAACTACACAGGCATCACTTTTCTCTCAATACCAGGCAAAGTCTTCAACGGGGTATTGTTAAACAGAATTAAAGACTTTGTAGACGCCCAACTTCGGGATCAACAGGCTGGATTTCGTAAGGATCGATCGTGTACTGACCAAATCGCAACATTATGGATCATTTTGGAACAATCAGTTGAATGGAACTCACCACTCTACATCAACTTCATCGACTACGAGAAAGCATTCGATAGCGTGGATAGGAAAACACTGTGGAGGTTTCTTCGACACTACGGTGTGCCTGAGAAAATAGGTAACATCATACGGAATACTTATGATGGATTCAACTGCAAAGTCGTAGACGAAGGACAGCTAACAGACTCTTTCGAGGTGAAGACCGGTGTCAGACAATGTTGCTTACTCTCACCCTTTCTCTTTCTCCTGGTCATCGACTAGATTATGAAAACGTCAACATTATGAAGACGTCGACGTCTGGACGGAAGCACGGTATTCAGTGGACAGCTAGGATGCAGCTGGACGATCTGGACTTCGCAGATGACCTGGTTCTTCTATCGCACACGCAACAACAAATGCAAAGGAAGACGACCAGTGTAGCAGCAGCCTCTGTAGCAGTAGGTCTCAACATACATAAAGGAAAATGCGAAATTCTCCGATGCAACACAACATGCACCAGCCAAATCACTCTTGATGGATATGTCTTGGAGGAAGTTAACACCTTTACATATCTGAGCAGCATCATCGAAAACCAAGGTGGATCCGATGCACATGTGAGGGCGTGGATTGGCGAAGAAACGGCTGCATTTCTACAGTTGAGAAATATCTGGAACTCCGAACAACTTTCAACCAAAACCAAAATCATGATTTTCAATAGAAATGTCAAGACAGTTCTACTGTGTGGAGCGGAAACCTAGACAACTACGAAAGCCATCATCCAGAAGATATAAGTATTTTTGAACAGTTGTCTACGCAAAATACTTCGTATTCGTTGACCAGATACCATCAGCAATAGCTTATATTGGGAGAGAACAAACCAGATTCCAGTGGAGGAGGACATCAGGAAGAAGCGGTGGAAGTGGATAGGACACACACTACGAAAGGAGGAAGACCAAGGAACACATTACGTCGAGAAATAGAGAAAGATATGAGAGGAATGAACAAATATTGGACAGAACTGGAGCTGGAAGCCCAGCAGAGAGTTGGTTGGGGAAAGCTGGTGTGCGGCCTATGCTCCGTTGGGAGTAACAGGCGTAAGTATGCGTAAGCGTCAGTTCTAGGTCAAGACACTGGTTGATGATGACCAGTATTTTGGACTTAAAATCATGCCACTTGGGAGCCGCAGACTACTTGTAAATTCAAATCTGTTGATGGGCGGTTGGACAGTGATCTTTATCGTAAATTGGTGAGATTACTGTATGTAATTCGCTGTGCGGCACCAAGTACATATTTAAGGCTTTCAAGCGAACTGAATAAGGTTTGTCCATTAGTTTAAACCCCTTCTTTGTCACTCATTTTGATCACATTCAGGGAGAGTTGTGCTCTTCTCGCACTTAGGGGCCATTGAGTATCAGACTGTAAAGGATCTATCTCTTCAGTCAACACTGAAAACAGTTCCAAATAAATCTATAATCAGGGTATCCAATGCTTTTGAAGAAGCCTCAAGATTCGTCATCATATAGAAAGCGATATCTAGGTAATCTCTTGAAGTCATGCCCTTGCATTTTGTAGTTGGCAGGAGTATGGAACTGGATTAACTATCATTTACGAGTAACGTAATTGCATCATAGGATCATTATTTTGGACAGAAGATTATCATATGAATCCTAGATAATAAATTTAAGAGGAAAACGACTCCTTAGTAACTTTCTGTGATCCTTCCTATCTTGAGAAATAATGGAACTTCTCTGTCATTAAAAGATTCCACATTGTAATTGCTTAGTAAACAAGCAAGGCTACAGCTTTTTACCACTTACAGAATAGTCTACTATTTATAGAAAATAGTTGAAGCGATGAGAAATAGAAAAGCAAAATAAGATAATATATTCATATGTAATTCAAATGATGAGGATGATGACGTTAAACTGTAGCTATTAATCAGTTCCCTTTAAGATAATTACCTATCAAAAGTTAAAATACGAAGGCCTTGAGAACACAATAAAGTTTATTACTGCATGTATTTCATGCATTCGTGTAAGTAAACGTATCCAAGCAATAGAATATATAAGGCGCAATCAGCGTCGTTCTATTTAAGCATTCCTCAGTGTATCTGGCAAACAGACAAAGGCATCTTATGGTTATGCGTATATTATATGAATGTTACAATAATGATAATAACTCATTCTCAAATAAAATGTTACGAGAGGCAGACCAGTTAACATGTAAGATCAATATGTTGAAATTGCCAACATAGTTTCTGCAGAAGCTTGCTTAGTTACGTAAGTATTTCAAAAGACATTGGCTAAATTTGGATGGCTACAATTATTCACATAAAATTAAAGAAAATGTTTAAAAGTCTGTGATGTGCAACAAGATAGTTGGCTCGAGCTTTGACGGTCACGTTTTGACGAACCGCTGCTGGTTGAGAATCACCACAAGACAAATCCATCTCTGCATATAGCAAGAATGGCTGTGGTAAATAGATAACGAACTTCTTGTTGAGAATCGTCAGATAATACCTTGACGGGCTCCTAGATAAATTGATCAAGGCTAATATTTCAGGAGTATGATGAGGTTATAGTAGTTTCACTTTTATGGAGAGAACGCGATCCGTTTCATATAAACGTCCAATATCATAACCAATTGTACCAGTGATTGTTTCACTGAACTTTTTTATTTATTTGTACTTTGTACGCGCAAATATTCAGTTTGTGCTGCTGCCATTTTGGTCTCACTGCTCTCTGCAACTTATCCTCTTCTTTTCAGGCACGATTTTGGTATTCCTTCAATACCACGAAATCGCCTACAAATATATTCCTTTTCATGGATTGACTTTTCTCCTCTGTCCTTGATTCACGGAGATTTAGTTACGGGAACGTAATTGATCTGTAAAGGTGATCTTAGGCAATCCATACTCGTCTCAATACAAGGTTCTTAAAAGACAAATGCAGCAGAACAGAAAATATTCCTAGTTAAGGCTGAGTCATGGCTCAGCATATAGTATTTTTTGTATTAGAACAACACCTGTAAATCCGCACTTATGTAGTTTAATGATGACAAGTCACTAGTAAGATAACGAATTAATATGAGGTAAATGTTCAAAGATCTTGTTAAAATTCGTCAGATAATAAATTTAAAAGCTCCTAGATAAAGTAACTAACCAAGTATTTGGTTGGCTAATATCTAAGGAGTGGAATAAGGTGCTGAAAAAGA